CCCCCCCCCCCCCCCTCCGCCACTTCCTTTAAACAAAACGTACAAACGATTGCAAGTCTCCACGAACATAAGTTCCCCTCTAGCACCAATTATAAGCTCCCTGTGAAATCTATTTGTTATCAATGACGTTTTGAAGCTTATTTAAAACCAGTGAATGCAAAACGTATTTTGATCAGCACCGCTATAATTTAGCGTATTTCAAAACTCATTTAAATTCTATTCCGATTTTAAGCCTCCTTGGATATAAGACCCTCGGAAGTTACAGGAGCCAATCACAACACGCGAAAATTGGTAGTATAGCTAGCCACTGAAAATGGCTAAACATCTACCCCTCTTAAGGGTTGGTGCATAGCGCCAGGTATTAATCGACGCTCATTGCGTCGCGGTTTATCGCCACCATTATTTACCGCCTTTTGGGAAATGTGCACCTATTCACTAAGAAACAAAATAAAAAGGTGTCTGAAAGAATAGCGGTACCAAATGGCAATGGTAGCGGAAAATTTAATTTGGCCAACGATTCAGTTTTGTTTTCGGCTTGACTTATACCTCGGGCTGAAAGGTGATGACATCACCAAGTACGTGACTTGGGCAAACTGCTTTTATCTCTGTTCATTTAGAAAGGTCCAATTAACTTATTATAGATCTTTAAACTATAGTTTTTGGGTAGGCCACAGAGTAATGGAATTCTGTGATAGTTACGCCTTCTTGTTATTGTAAAAGGCGGTTTGCATGCGATGGTCACCATGTAAAACGTGTGTTTCTACTGATAGAAGCCTTGCGTTTATAAGTCACCTGGTTTGATCCCTAGGCTCCCGGAGGGGGTTCTCCCTATAATGGCCTATACGGAGAGGCTCCGCCCGAAAGGGGTACATTTTTCAGGTTTCAGGTATATGAAAGGGTAGGGATTTTACTCGTTGAAGTATACGAAAGGGTAGGGAAATCTGTCATTTGAGTCTGTTAAAGCGCCCAAAAGGACTGACAGATGGATTTTATGGCTTTATAAAGTCGAGAAAACGTTCTATTTTTGTGATTGATTCCCATTCAAATGACAGTGCATTTACAGCAGTCAAAAGGAATGCAACGGTTCAAACACTGGGCAAAGGCGGCTATTTTATACCACAAACTTTAGTGAATCGGCACCCTCCTTAGGTTTCCTCCGACCTAGATTTAAAATCAGAGGAGCTCCGATGGGGTCGATGTTGTGCTCAGACTAAGATAAAAGTGTAAGTATTTTCTACGAAAACATCAAAAATATAGAAAAAAGGATAAAGTCGTAAAATTTATGGTACACTGTATACGAAAACGTACAAAGCAATAAAAGCCTTGCTAAATAAAAGAAAACTGTACTCTTTACGGAAGTTCTTACTGAGACTAACTTGCTGTAAGGGTATCTCCTACCGGGTATACTCATACGCTTTCACGCCTATCGGGGCATACAGCACTGGTTATTTAGGTCCCCAATTTATTTCGACGTCCTCCCCTCCCATTATCTAGGTTAAGAGACCCTGATAACTGGGTACGTCTTTATTTATAAACGCAATCGAACAGACAAGTCGGCAAATAGCTGCATTGGATACTGAAATCAATATTGAGAGACTGTACGGGGAAAATCTCTGTTAAGGAGCAGACATTATGAGTTCGATCTTATTTATTAGGAAAAATAACGGACAAGATTTGTACATACTGTTAAACTGATTGTCGTTTATTGAAAGCTTTAATCACACATAAAAGCGAACTGCACTGACATGCAAGAAATATAACAAAGGATCTATCTAAGTAATGGGAAGGTTTCTTGACAAGAATTTCAATGTTACAAGTAAACACATATTCCTCTTTTTCCGCTGTGGCAGACATTCGAAAGGGAAGGGAAGGAATGATTTTGGTGCGTGAGAAGCACTTAAGGGGGCGCCAGAAAGGAGGAAGGGGAACGCTTTCCTCTCCTCGCTTCTCCCTCGCTCGCGGTCTCGCGCCTAAATTCCCTTTCCTTTCCCTTTCGAACGCCTTCCACGCAGGCTAGAGATCAAGTTACCCTATAATCATATTCATTTTCCTAGCTAATTAATATAAATTTTACGAGGTGCGATTTTAATCCTCGAATTCTAATCCGTTTTTAATAATGGTCTTCCCTCGAAGCGGTTTGGCTACAAAAGGAATCGCGCCGTGTGATTTAATTAAAGCAAGATTTAATTTGAAAAATTCTTTTTCACTTCCGGATTTAATTAAAGATTTTCAGTCGAAATATTTTAAATGCAAAGGTTACCTCTTCAGCATATTTTTTTTTTTTTGCTTACATGAAAGATTATATCACGACCTTTACTTTGACTACATCTTTATAGGAAATGAATGACAATCTGATGGTGTAAATGGTATGCCGAGAGTGAATTGGTTCCCCTGAAGCTTTAGTGATATATTTTGCATCCATAAGATATCATCTACAAAACGCATTTCCAATCAATCACTCTCAATCACAGCCATTTTGTCTCGTCACGGAACGAGAAGGAGCGGTACGTTACAAGACAAAACGGCTGCGTGGGCCGGGAGATCAATTCCCTACGAGCTCGATCAGCCGATTATTGTGTCGTCACGGAAGGTGCCTCCCTACAAAGGAACTAAAGAAGCGCTGCGTGACAAAACAAAGAACTGCTGCCAAGGACTAACCTGTCAACATAATAATACAAAATCATGACACTGTTATAAGAGTTTACTATTGATCATCTAATGCGACGGAAGTAGCCACGAAGGGCTAAAAGAAAATAACCAAAAACAATACTTTCGCACCTTGCGCTTTACAGTCTATATTTGTAGAATGTTATTCTAAGGAAATTGAAAACGCGCTGAAGGTAAAGACTCCCGTCATTAGGACTGGGGCCTAGATACTTCTTCAATCATTATCCGGGACACTGATATCCACCCAGTATCAGCGTTACCCAGGGTTTGGCCACTACACTTTCCTACCCATAATTCTACTCTAACTGCGCCTTGTGGAATGTTTTCACAGTACCCCTCAAATGACCGATGATGATACAGCTGATAACGGTTCACAGATGACCAGATGTTGAGAACAGCAGCCTCAATCGTCATTGGTCCACTGCATTCATTTCCATTGAACTTGAAATACCATCGGTTACACTTAGCATGACCAAGAACCATCATGTTTCCCTGGAATGAGACTCTGAGCGCTGAACTAGACTGCAGTTTGTTAAACGCACAGTCCTGGAATAAAAGCAAACAAATCAAACATATTGTAATAAGGCGAGCAACCGTGTGTAATGATTGATACTAACAACTCTAGTCATGATTACTTCCTAATTTTTTAAAAACACCTGTAATAGCTTAAAATTTTGTTGTCCTTATCCACATGGTCTGATCATTTTATCACGCGCGATGGTTTTCTTTTTTTCGTTCAAAAAAGAACCAAAGTAGAGGGAAAGGTAACTTAGTTATTTATGTAATGTGTTGGCAAACGGTGAGTGAGAGAGGAGACGTTCTTCTTTGAAACATTTTAATTTAAAAGAGAATGAATTTTCTTAGGAGTGTGTTATGATTCTTATTCTATTTACCTTAATCTTTCCGTTATCAGTACTGCTCAATGATTTCCACACACATTGTTTCCAGTTGGTTTGTGGTACTACACTTGCTTGACTTGCTTTGGCGCTTTCTCCTTTCGCTCCTTTGTCTCCTTTTCTTCCTTTCATTCCCACAATGCCTCGCTCTCCTTTCATTCCCACAGGTCCGCGCACTCCTTTCATTCCCACAATGCCTCGTTCTCCTTTCATTCCCACAGGTCCGCGCACTCCTTTCATTCCCACAATGCCTCGTTCTCCTTTCATTCCCACAGCTCCTTGCTCTCCTTTCATTCCCTCAAGTCCCTGTTGACCTTTCATTCCCTTAATTCCTCGGGGTCCACTCTTCCCAGGGGGTCCTTCGCGCCCTCTGTCTCCTCTTGCACCGGGCATTCCTTGTGATCCTTTATCACCAATTTTTCCTTTTGACCTTCTCTTCCCTGGGGTCCGTGTGGCCCCGGGACGCCCGGCACTCCCGGAATACCATTTGATCCTGGAATACCAGGGAAACCCAGCATAGATCGCTGAAATGAAAGTAAAGATGACTTGTAATTAGCAGAGACGAAGACGACACGGGATCTTAAATAACTCGGGAGGGGGCAGGGGGGTGGATGTACTCCTGGGAATTCTTGGAGGGGATGTGCCGCCCGGTTCTCCAAATCCTGAATCTATTTCAGACCAAAACACGTCATTTTTTACACCCGTTTTCAGACTTGGCCTCTAAAATCCATACAAATTTTAGGACCTTGTCTCTAAGAAATTATGCATGTCATCGTTACTTAGATTAATTCTCCCAGTTTTGGAAATGAAAGGATAATTTCCTTTATACACGCCCGCGTTTCCTCGCAAACAATGATTCCACACCAAAATGAACAAAGTCTGTACCCGCCCGCCGTCTCCCTTGTTTTCGAGGCACGGAATGGACCTTGGACATCATAATCCTATTTTAAGCGTTATCTCGCCTCGAATGGACTTGGATGGAAGCAGAGAAAATTAACAGCTAACAATTAATGGACAGGCTTCAGGTTTTCGAGGAAAGATCATGCTGAAGCGAGGACTTTTAAATAAACTGCCATACACGTTTAACGGGTACTTTTTAGTAAGTGATCATAACGACGTGAGAGTAATAAAACGGTTTCTGGGTGTACCTAATCTACGGCGCAGTACTCCTTTTTATATCTTTATGCTTTAATTTCTTACCTGGCATAAGTCTTTTAACTCTGTGGTGTTTTTTTGCTGAGGTGAGGTGGTTGCTCCCAGAGAGCCGCCAAAAAAAGAGAGAATCAGGAAAACAGCGAAATACTGAACCATGGCTGTGAGAGTTGAACGAGAACACAGCGTTTTCTGAAATCAGTGCTACGTGCTCATCATTTTATAGANGGGGGGGGGGGGGGGGGGGGGGGGGCCTCCCTATAATAACCTACCTTATTATAGGAAATTAACGCTCCGTGAAATTAAGGTATTGGAAATTAACGCGAATTTAATGGAAAACGACTTTCGAATAAAGAAGATTAACGCGAAGAGAGGAAGTAGAATTTCATAATAAAGGAAATTAACGCGATTAAGACACAGTTAGTGGTGACAACTGGAACAAATTTATTTCAACACTGGATGCAAACAATTCAAAACTCAACAAAACTGTGTACACATCACTTCTGACAGCGACAACGATGAAGATGAACTCGAAATATTGTAAACCTTCGCCTTAGCTTTCGTGAAAGATGAAAAACAAAGGGTAAATGGAAAGAAAGAAAGCTTGTAGTTAATGTTTTTTAGGTGTCAAGAATGTCTGGACAAGTTCCAAAATTTGGGTTAAAATACTGGAAATTAAGAGCGCGGAAATTAACGCTGCAGTTAATTAACGTCGCGGAAATTAACGTTCAACAAAATTAACGCGACTTAAATTAACGCGAATTTTAACGATTCGCGTTAATTTAGTGGAGCGTTAATTTCCTATAATAAGGTATATGGGGAGGCGCTGCCCAAAAGGATACCTCTTTCAAATCAGGATAGACTATTGCACGTTAGTTTCAACATTTGACATGGATAAGCTAAATAAATCAATGGAAAGAACACCTTTAACAAGTCTAAAAGTGGGATTTGTTGAAAACCAACGAAATTTCGCCAAATTTTTACAGACGTTTGTATGGTGAGGGCCGGGCAGAAACTTGCTTTTCCCCCTCCCCACCCTCCACGTACAAAAGTCTGTCAATTCTGGCAACTTTACAGAGCTATATCTTTGCACGCTTAAGACGTATCACTTTCTCATTTGGCAATGTTACAGCCACTGAAATTAAAACTAAACTTCAGTTAGTACTAGATATGTGTCAGAGGCCGTGACAGAAATAAGGATCTCCTTCCTGTACCGCTGTGACGTTATTGAGATGATTGTTTGCACAAAAAATGATAATAATAAAATAAAATAAAACAAGAACGAGCAAAAGCCTAGCACAATTTTTTTACGGTCATGAATCCACAGATTCGAGTTATTTCCAGTCCTGTTTAACCTAGCTCATTCCTAGCTGTCGCTTGTAAGCCGTGAGGTCATGATACACCTTTTTATACATCAATTCAGAGTTAGGGAGGCGTATAAACGGAGGGGCTTTAATATTCGAGGGGGCCTATAGATGGCATAGAAAAAGCGCTTCGAAATAAGCTGTAGCAGTGCTGATAAAAATACATTTTTGAATTCAAAACGTCATTATAAATCGAATTCAATTCAGTTCAAGCACGGGGGCAGCGTGGTATATTCGGTGGGGCTTATATTCGGACGTTTTTTTTTTACAGCCGTGATATCGGTCCCTAACTGAAGTGGAGGACTAATGAGTGAAGGCCCTTATTCGCCACTTTGGGGTTGCGCGGACTAGGTCGAGATGTTTGTCAAGTGCATTGTTGGACGTTTCGGGGGAACGTGTTTTCAACAGTGGCAATTAAATAAGCGGCAGTTCACGGTGTTTCACCTCATTGGTTCAGATTTTCAGATCCAGAGGAAAAAGAGCAAACTTTTCATCACTGAAGCGCTAAAGGCATGTAACAAGTGCATTCGTGTACAACGTGACATGCATAGAGCGGTTACAGAGCTGAGTGATATTTCAATAAAAGGATGTATCTCTAAATTTCTACATGAATAGTAAACAATATTTTCAGGGTTTCCGGTAACTCGTCTTGCAGAGACTTCATTCCTTTCATCTCGCGCTGAATCGATCGTCCCCGTCTTTTTACTCAGTTCCTAAATTTTTGGCCCCTACAGATAAAAGAACACTACTTTCATAAGAAAGCGTACATTCAGACGTAGACAGGGCTTACAGATGTTAAAAACTCGAGAAAACGCTCTGGTATCGTGATTTTTCTCTTTCATATTTAAAAGAGTGCATTTATAGCAGCAAAAAAAAGGGATGTAAAGTTCTCAACGAGGTATGTTGAAAGAGGCATCATTTGTCAATGGAAAGTATAAGAAAGGGTATCTTGTCTGTCAAAAATGGTACGTAAAAGGGTAAGGGGTTGGACCCCGGCGCGGAGCCTCCCCATATAAAACTTCGTTAAGAAGCCCCTCCGGCTATTATGATCTAGAGTCAGTCAAAAATAGAGCGCAACGTCTTTGTTCTTATTTTTGCTGTAGCAGACGTCATTACGTAATGTGGAACGCGACCTTCCTTTTTGCAATCGATACTAGCTGCAAAACAATCGCGAGACATTTGTGTTGGAGGCAGCTTCCTTCCCGAGCGATACCAAAATTGTGAGTCAAGTAGTACCTAACATAGTGGGCTTACGCAGCATTTTCCTTAATTGTGAGTCATGCATGAGTACGTAGCATAATGGGGCTTACGCAGCAACCGCGGAGGACGTTTTCCTTATTGAAGAAAACTTGCTTTTGTAACTGAAGGGCTTTAAGCCGGTTTTCACGCTATGATTTTTTCCAAAGAAAAACGAAAAGGTTAAAACTGGCTGAAAACCGGATACATTCAAATAATCTGTTGCATCACCGTATATTTTCCTTGGAAATAAATCGGCCTTACAATCGCTGTGTGTAAACCAGCTCTTAAATAGCAAAACAAACAATAAAAATGGATAAAAACATTTTTATACATTTTATTACTATTGTCTACTCATTTAAGGCGTGCAATGCGAACGCCCAAAGACGAGTTCTAGTTTCTCTTTTTACAAAACTCAAACCCACTCCGTACGGTCTGGCATGAATTATTTTAGGGTACAGGCTCGCCTGTTTATTAATTTTAATAGCAACATAGTGGAGCCCCGCCATACGACCACCTCGTTATTACGACCATATTCTCTGGATTCAAACGTAGAAATCAGGCTTATTTTAATTTTTATTTTTTTCGAAAATCACCCGTTAATGCGACCACCTCATTTTTACGACTAGGATTTTATGGCCCAACGGTGGTAACATTATAATAGGGACTTTAAGATCCGAGACGCGACGGCTGTAGGACGCGACAGGAAGTAAATTTTCAAAGAGGAGACATGTTGCGCGTGCTCAAGCCGTTGTCCTGGTATCACCACGTCGCGTCGAGAACGTGGGTTTTGCGTGTTTGACGTTCTGTACAAAACGTGAGTAATATTTATTTCTGTGCCTAAATTAAATTATGATGTATTCCTCTAAACATGTAAAATCAGCCTTCTAGGATCATTGGACGTAATTTCTGGCGACATTTTAGATCGCAGAGATGGAAGGATTTTGATTATTTTTAAATTTCTTTCAGGTGTACGAAGCTTATATTCAGCACCTTCGACTTCGACTTCGAGCGAGGCTTGCAAGTAAGTCACGAGCTAAAACTGCAAATAGTGAATGCAGGAGTCTTCTTTTTATAAAAGTCAGACCCATTCCGTGCGGTCTGGCATATTGCTTTTCACTCGCTAATCTCATAACGACAAATGTACGTGAATTACAGTTAAGGTACAAGCTCGCCTGATAATTATTTTAATAGCAACACAGTGGAGCCCCGCCATACGACCACCTCGTTATTACGACCATATTCCCTCGATTCAAACGTAGAAATCAGACTTATTGTAGTTTTTATTTTTCGAAAATCACCCGTTAATGCGACCACTTCATTTTTACGACTAGGATTTTATGGCCCAACGGTGTTCACATTGAAGGGGTTCCACTGTAGTTAATTGCTTTATGACTCCCGTTTGAGGATCGACACTGACCTTCACTGAGCTGAAACAAGGTTAATCGAGTAACAATGCGCTTAACATCAACTGCGTTCTGCACTTGAATATAAATATTTTTTAACTTTTACTCTAAAGCCATCCTTAAACGCCTTAAATAACGTGTTCACATGTATATCATAGTCATTAAAATAAAGTACAAGAATAGTTTAAAAAAATAAGAACTTGTTTAAATAATTAACACTGTTTAGACTTGTTTCCTTCGGTAAGGCTCTTTTAAAAGCAAAACACCAAGATGCCGAAAAACAAAGGACATTATAAATAAACTCCTTCTAAATGCATTTATCAGACATAACAGTCTGTTCACTTTTAAAAGCTACTTC